CGCGATGACGCGCTTCCAGCGAATCGATATTCAGCGAACTAGTGCGTGGATTCATGCGCGACAGTGTAAACCCATGTTCGCCTGTTATGATAGGCGCTGAATTTAAGGTCCAACGTATTTCCATGGGTAAGTCACCTTTTGGTATCATACAAAACACGCCAGCAATCTCGCCAGTATTCGCTGGCTCCTCACCAAAGTCGAAGGGTTGTATTTGAGGTGGTACTTGTGGATGATTTAAGAATAACGGAAACGAGGGAATGAATGTGGTAGAATATAAAATAAAAACGAACTTAAATGTAACAGCAACCGATACTTCCATGAGTTATTTGAAAAAGTTAGTTAAACAAACCGTTCACTTCTAAAACAGCAACATATTCAGCATAACCCGCTGAATTGTTCGCTATACACTTGTAAGTGCCACGATGCATTGCCTCGAGTGAGTCTACATTCAGCGAACTTGTACGCTTATTCATTTTGAATATGTTAAAACCATGTTCACCGTTTACAATCAGTGCTGAATTCAGTGTCCAGTAGATATCGAGCGGTAAATCGCCTTTGGGTACAACACAGGTGACACTCGCAACCTCGCCGCGATTAAGTGGGTCTTCGCCGAAGCTGAATGGACTAATCTGAGGTGCAACTAAGGAAATAAAGGTAGGCAAAAAATCTAATTAAGCCCAGCTGATTAGCTTTCTCAATAAATATTAGTTTTTATCACTATTGGGTTATAATTTTAGGCGAAATAATTTCAAAATCCAATAAATTTGTTGAACAGTTTTAAGAAAATGTGAAGAGAACAATAAACTAAAAAAGTTTCAGCTAGTCAGCCTAATTCAACTTTATTCAGCGCCAGTTTTTGCAGTTCGTAAAAGTATCTACAACCAAACTAGCACTTACTTCACATTTTTAATATCAGCCCAAAGCTATTCAGCTCAATTCAGCGTAATTCAGCAACGAGTTTAAGCACGCCATCTTAACACAGGCAAAAAATAAATAAAGAAAACTGCTATACCAACACCAAATATGTTCTTAAATTCAGCATATCTAGGAGCCAATTCTGTGCAATATGGAGCAAAATTTAACAGCGAAAAAAAAGAGAGTATACCGTTTTGCTTAAATGTTTATAGTTTTTGTTAGTACATGAACACCAACTATTTACAGAGACTCAAACTTCTACTCGACGCACCATTAACCTGCAATTCAGCAGCATATTCAGCAAGTCCAGCTAAATTCACTGCTATGCAACTATAAGTGCCACGATGTTTTGCCTCTAAGGAGTCTACGCTTAAGTAGCTGGTGCGATGATTCAATTGCAATATCTTAAAACCGTCACTGCCTGAAGCAATCGGTTCATCATTGAGCGTCCAGTGAATATCGAGCGGTAAATCGCCTTTTAAGATCATACATGTAGCGCTTATCATATCGCCCATATTAACAACTTCAGCGGGAAAACTAAACGGTAATACGTGCGGAGGAACTAAGCGAAAAAAAAAATTAAACATAGCGCTTGTCGGTAAGGAATCAATGGAATTGAAATTAAAAGTTAACAAATGAAATTCTCTAAAATAATTGTAAGCACTTATTCAGCACAAACCATTAACATGTAATTCTGCTGAATATTCCGTAAACCCGGCTTTATTATTAGCTATACACTTATAAACACCACGATGTTTCGCCTCTAGCAAATTAATGCTCAAAGAACTGGTGCGTGGATTCGTGCGCATTAACGTAAAACCTTCCTCGCCATTTATAATGGGTGCTGAATTGATAGTCCAGCGTATATTTAGCGGTAAATCACCCTTAGTAACCATACATTGTACACCAGCCATTTCACCAAAATTTAAAGCCTCGTCACCAAAGCTGAATTGCATTATTTGAGGAGGAACTGGTGTTGGGGAGAAATTATAGGCTTTAAAAATAATTTATGCGAAAATGTTGAATAAGGTGAGGGAAATGAAAAAAAAATTGAACGAAACAAATGAAACTTGTCTATTCATTTAGTGAAATTTAAAAAAAAAAAATATGTTCACCGATGTACCATTGACTTTTAATTCGGAGGCGTAAAACGATGATCCCGCCTTATTTTCGGCGATGCATTTAAAAAGTCCACGATGGTATTGCTCAACGGCGGCGATATTCAGCACACTTGTTTTTGGTGAAAGCTTCAAAATTGTTATACCCTCTTCACCATTGATGATGGGTCTTGAGTTGAGCGTCCATTTAATCGTAATGGGTGTATCACCCTTTTGTATCATACATTGTACGCCAGCATTCTCACCGTTATTTATGGGCTCATCGCCGAAAGAAAAGGGCATAATGGAAGGGGGCACTGGTGAGGGTAAAAAAATTTAAGATGAAACAGAAGCAAAAATAAAAATAAAGCAATTCTAAACGCGAGCAAATTCCTTAGAAAACTAGTCCCCCATAAATGTAGTACCGTTAACTTTCAACTCTGCGACATAAAAGTCAGCGCCAGCCTTATTTTCAGCGATACATTTGAAGAGGCCACGATGTTGTTCCTCCACGGCGGCAATATTTAAAACACTGCTTTTCGGCGATAACTTAAGTATAGCGAGACCCTCTTCGCCGTTGATGATGGGTCTCGAGTTGAGAGTCCATTTAATGGTAATGGGTACATCACCTTTTTGTATCATACACTGTACGCCAGCGCTTTCGCCAGTGTTCACCGGTTCCTCAGCAAAGGAAAAGGGGACAATGGAGGGAGGAACTGATGGAGAGGAAAAACGATTTTTTATAGAAAGAAAAACTATTTCGTAATCTAAATTTTTTACACTATAAATTTTCGCCTACAAATTAATTCCTTATTAACTACCATTAACACGCAACCACGACGCATGTTCTACAATTCCAGCAGCATTGCTGGCCACGCAGCTGTAGTTGCCCGCATGACGCGATCTCACCGATTCTATATTCAACATACTAATACGTTGACCGCTACGCGTAATCATCAAACCATCGTTGGAGCCGAAGAGGCGAAATCCGTTAAAGCGCCAAAATATATCCAAGGGTAGATCACCTTTGGTGACAGCGCAATTAACGGTGGCCATATCTTGCGCATTGACCGGTTCGCCAAAATCGAAGGGCAAAATTTGTGGTAGGACTGTGAACCGGTGGAGGAAAGGAAACATTTTTAAGTATTTACACTACAACCAAAACGAAAATAACTAGAATTCACAATATGCTAAGCTATAACAAATAAATGCTGTATGCTTAACCATTAACGGCCAGCAACGCTGACTGTTTGGTGACGCCGCCATTATTTGTCGCAACGCAGCTATAATTGCCCGCATGACGCGCGCGTACCGATTCAATGCTGAGCACGCTGATGCGCTGACTAGTGCGTGTAACCACCAAACCATCGTTGGTGAAGACACGTCCGCCATTGCGCGTCCAGTAGATGTCGAGTGGCAGGTCGCCCTTTTTGACGCTGCAGTAGGCGGAAACCATATCCATTTCATTGATACTCTCATCACCGAAATCGAAGGGCAATATTTGTGGGAGGACTACATAGGCAAGGAAGAGTAAGTGAGGCGGCAAGAAAATAACGAGAAATATTTTTTCAAAATAGAAAATTTTTTAAAAAGCTCAAAGAGTACGAACTAAATTAAAATTTTCAGTTTTTTTTTTAACCATTCACGGCCAACAGCGCGTACTGCTTGGTCGCGCCGCCATTATTTGTCGCCACGCAGCTATAATTGCCCGAATGGCGCGCGCGTACCGACTCAATGCTGAGCACGCTGATGCGCTGATTGTTGCGCGTGACTACGACGCCATCATTGGTGAAGACGCGCCCACCATTGCGCGTCCAGTAGATGTCGAGCGGTACATCACCTTTATTCACAGTGCAATAGGCTGAGACCATATCCATTTCATTGATATTTTCGGCGCCGAAGTCGAAGGGTAGGATTTGTGGTAGGACTGCATTTGGGAAGGAGTTTAAAATATAAATGCGTTAAAAGTGACAAAGCAATAGCAGAAAAAATACGCAATATTTAAAAATCGTTCTTTATCTACAACTTTTGCCCGCTAACCATTCACCGCCAAAGTGGCGGATTGTCGCGAAGCGCCTGCATTGTTAGTTGCAACACAGCTGTAGTTGCCCGCATGCCGCGCGCGCACCGATTCGACGCTCAAAACACTTAAACGCTGGCTGTTGCGCGTGACAATCAAACCATCATTCGTATAGACGCGTCCGCCATTTTTCATCCAGTAAATGTCGATAGGCAGATCCCCTTTGTTCACGGTGCAAGAAGCAGAAACCATATCCTGTTCGTTGATGCGCTCTTCGCCAAAATCGAAGGGTACTATTTGTGGCAGAACTGCAGGTGTGGAGGGGAGGACATGTGAGCGCACGGTAAAAGGAACGCAACTGAGTTAAAAAATAGCGAAATAAATAAAAAAATGTCGACAGTAAACAAAACAAAAACTCAAACTAAAGCGCTCTAAAAACGCAGCTAACCATTAACTGCTAGCACCGCCCAATGCGTTGTTACGCCCCCATTATTTGTCGCCACACAGCTGTAATTGCCTGCATGACGCGCGCGCACCGATTCGATGCTTAAGACGCTCATGCGCTGACTAGTTTTTGTAACGACAACACCATCATTCGTGTACACGCGTCCGCCGTTCTTAGTCCAAGCGACATCTATCGGCAGATCGCCTTTATTCACCGTACAGGAGGCAGATACCATATCTAGTTCGTTGACGCTTGCCTCACCAAAGTCGAAGGGCACAATTTGTGGAAGAACTTAATGAGATCAAGTGGAATGAATTATAAAAATATCGAAGCAACTGTGTAAAACTAGCGATATTTGAATTATTTTATATTGTTACGAGGACCTTGGAGTGGAGTTTTGCGATTTCAAACTCAGGCATTTCACTGACTAAAAAGGTTTCGGGAGCTCAAATTACCAAAGGAACCCAAAATTCGTAAAAACCCAAAATTTAAAGCTACTCTATGGCTCTATATACGCGCACACCATTAACACTCAGCTCAGCAGTGTGATAGGCCACGCCCGCTGCATTACGCGCTACACAGGTATAATTCGCACGATGACGCGCATGCACCGACTCGATGCTCAACATACTGATCCGCTGTGTGGTTTTCGTTATCAATATGCCATCGTTGGTCATTAATTTGCCCAAGCCGCCAAGTTTGGGATCCGGTGCCGTAGTCCAATACAAATCGATCGGTGTATCGCCTTTATTGACAGTGCATGTAGCCGAGACCATGTCGTTCATGTTGATCGCTTCTGAGCCGAAATCGAAAGGCGCAATTTGTGGTGGTACTACATAATTATAAGATGGAGTGAAAAAGGGTTTACCAGAGTACTATTTCGGATGTACACATCGAGTAACAGAAAAAATGCGACCCACGTTGATACTCGTACACTGCGAGTATTTTACCTAATATTCTTTATAACACAAAAAAAAAGAATGGAGTGAGCGTCGGCACGAAGCATTTTTCAACGGACGGGGATCTATGAACTTGTAACTAAATCTTTCGCAGCGGACAGACTTTGACACATGCTTCGTTATTTCAACTCACGACCGGTTTGTTTTTCAATTGGTAAAACAGTTCATCCCCCTCTCTTCAATAAGGGAGTATGAACAATAGCGTGCATATGAGACTTACCCATAACTTGTACTTCTAGTGAGCCGCGCGCCGAATAACCTTCCACATTCTTAGCGACGCAAGTGTATGTAGCTTGATCAGAGTTACGTTCCACATTCTCGATGATCAAAGTGCCGTTTGGGAAGACCTTTTGTTTGCGATTGATGGGTAAAGCGCGATTGTCTGCCAAAAAAAAATGTAGAATGTATAAGCATTCAGTAAATTAAAAAATATCTAGCAAACATCTCTAGTTAATCTCTACCACACCAAATACACACTCTACTTACCACGTTCCCAAACGATGGAGTCGATTGGATAGCCCGCAACTGGACAGGTTACAATCAGCGTCTCGCCGGCGACAATAGCTTTCTTTTCCATTTGTCGTATATAGGGCAGTCCATAGACATTCAATTTCGCCGAGTGTTCGGCCACGCCTACTTTGCTCTTTGCAATACACTTGTAGAGACCGCCATCGTTCGCATGCACTGATGTAATATTCAAATACGAAACAACATCGCCGTTCACAGTCACATATTGGCCCACTTGATACCGATCAATATTTGCAATTTTCTTGCCATCCAGTTCCCAGGAAATTTCAGGTGTTGGATTGCCGCCAGCCACACACTTTAGGAATACACTTGGACCAGGTTCCATTGTTTCCTCTTGGAATGCCTGTCGTATAACGGGTGGGTCGAAACGGCCGCCGAGTTTGAGTTCAGCGCTTGCTTCTGCTGATTCCTGATCGTTGCGCACGAAACACTGATACATGCCCTTGTCTTCCTTCTTCACGGATTCGATGCGTAAGACCTGATCGCTGTGGCCAATTGATTTGCCGTCTTTTATCCAGCTAATGGTCTTAATAGGGTTGCCGCTGTACTGGCACGTGAAGACAGCAGGACGTCCAAAGTCGACAGTTTGTGTGGGTGGATCGATTTTTGCGGAAAGTGGTGCGGTCACGGTGAGCACAGTTTCAACGCTTTCACCACCGACGGAGTTATTAACCACACATAAATATTTGCCCGAATCCTCGACGACAGCATCTTTGATGATAAGAGTGCCGGAAACTTGCTTTACGCGTTCATTTAGGATAACCGCTTGCTTGCGTGTGGTGCCTTCGATGAATTTATACCATCTGCAAGGGATAAGGGAAGTGATTAGCTGAGTTATTTATTGCTAAGGGTGGAATAAAAAGATGATTAAAAATGAAGAAATGAAATGCTTGGCGGTGAGCAAACTAAACCTTTTGTATGCGCTCCGAATGAGATTGCGGAAAGAAGGGCTTCAATAAAATTTGTGAAAGCAGTGCTCAGCTAGTTACTTACCTTTCGAGCCGGCAGTTTTGGTTGAAATAGCATTTCATTTCTGCGCTTTTAATCAACTTTGTTCGAAAATTTGCTTTAAGTAGCCTCGACAGAACCTAGTACGACCTAACAAAAAGGAATAAAGGTTACAAATGGCGGATATTTCAGCAATCAAGGAGACTATTATTAAAAAGCTTGCAGGTGCAGCTTTTCAGGGAACGCTTAGCTCTAAGTGGATTTTTAGAAGCCTGTAGTGATACAATTTGTCCAGCAAGAAGCAAATGTAGAGATGGGAGCTTTTACATTATGAAAACTGAAGTTACAGAAGTTTAAAAATTTAAAGGAATATTTAAATGTAGACTTTTTGAAAAAGTGCTGCTTTTAACGGGTTTCAAAAAGCTTGTGACACTGGCTAAAAAGCGAGCAGAAGATTCGATTTATGAATGCTGATATTGGTTAAATTTAAATATGAGTTTTTGTTTTCTGAAAGCTATGCTTTGGGTAGGTTTCATGGAGCTTGTAGCGCGGTCTGACCTAAAAACGACGGTAAAACTTTAGGCTCACATCAGCTATCCAATCCAAAATAATGCTTACTGTTTCATCATTGAGACAGAAAATACAACGCCAGTGCACCTGGAACTTTTAGAGTATTTTTTGCTTTGCTTTTTATTTCTTATACCTATAAACTGGTACAGGATAGCCTTGACCAGGACAATGGCCGACAAAAGTGCCTTGCCTAGGCACTTCATTGATTTCGATACTTTTGACTGCTATACGAGGCTTTACATGGCCCACGGGTTCTATAAAAATTAGCATTAGAAATAGTGAAAGCAAAATATGGTGTAAAACAACCATTCAACTGCCTGAATGTTTAAAATTAAGCCAATATATACCTGAATAATGGCATTGGATATGCTTGCGCCTGACAAAGTATGGAAAAACTGTCACCTAAACGCATTGTAAGTTCTTGCAGACGATCTCCAGAAACGGTCGGAGTTGCGCTGCTAATAGGTTCTAAGAAGAAATTATATATACCTATATATTTTGTTTGGAAATACCATCGAAAACTTTTATGAAAAACTGTCTGAATATTTAAAGTGTTTGCAAAAATAAACCGGTTTGGCAGAATTTTGCACGAGAAGTCCTACATTATTTTCTTTTATTGTTCTTTTACCGAAAAACGGGCGTTGGATACGACTGTCCTTGGCAAAGCATGGTAAGACTAAGACCAGCTTGTGTAATTACTTCTTGCAGACGACCTCCTGAAATTTTCGGTGCAACACTGCCGACAGGTTCTGGGAGAAGAAGTTCACTTTTAAAATGTGATTCAACAGTCTTTTGGGGGAAAACTGCCTGAAAGTTTTGGATTTCTATGCATACATATATAAGCTTTTGAAAGTTATTTGATAGTTTTCGAAAATCCGCTTTGAGCTTTTAAAGCTCATGCTTCAACTCCAAAACTAACTTTATTATCGGCACTGGAAAAGCTTGCGCTTGACACAATAAAGCAAAACTATGGCCAATTTCTTTGACAAATGTAAAGCTTTTGGATTCACCGGAGAATGTGGGAGCCTTGGCGCCTACTGGCTCGGTAAATAGCATAAAAATTCAATAATTTTGAATTTAAAAATAAAAAAAATCTCAGTTGGGAAACTTAACTTAATGTACACAAGTTTAATAATTTAAATAAGTGAAATCTCACTAAATTTTTTTAATTATCTACCTTATAACTGGCACTGGCCATGCTTGAGCTTGGCACAACAAAGCAAAGCTTTGACCAAAGTTGCGTGAAAATGTGAAGCTTTTCAAATCATTCGAAAATGTTGGAGCTTTTGCGCCAACGGGCTCTAAAAAAATATAAAAAAATAAGTTTTAATTTTTTACACTTAAAATTTTACAAAACCAGTTAGCAGTGTCGCGCACCATTTTCAATAACAATACAAAAAATAGATACCTTATAATCGGCACTGGAAAAGCTTGCGCTTGACAGAGGATTGCAAAGCTTTGTCCCACAGCGCGTATATAGGAGAAAACATTTGAGTCAGTAGAGAATGTTGGGGCTTTAGCGCCGACGGGTTCTACAAAAATTAAATAAAAAACTCATGTGAAAAACTAAAGCTTCGCTCAAATGTGCCTCAAGTGCATATGAAAACTGCTTCGAATATTGGGAAAACAATCAAAAACAATATCTATACCTAAATACAGGCACCGGATAGGCTTGAGCTTGACACAAGAGCACTAAATCTTTTCTTCGTGCTTCCACAAAAGTGCTACTCTTGGCTGAGCCGGGGAAAGCGGGCCCTTTGGCACCGAGTGGTTCTTTGAAAATGGCAGACAGAAAGTGTAAGTTAAAAATAAGCATGTAAAAAAGCACAAAAACTGCCTGAAAAAAAACATTAAACGCAACTTTATATACAGGCATTCGAGAAGCTTTTAAGTAACGCCTAACAAAACTTTAAACCAGCGATGGCCAGAGAAAGCTTTTACCCTGCTCGCGCCTATACAAAATGTGCTTTGCCCGCGAGCAAGGCTATGCCCATCAGTGCTTTAAACTCATACAAGAAACTATTTAGTTAAGTTTCAAAAAGCTTTGAATTATTTTAGCTTTCACCAGCAAATTTAAACCGTATTTTAGCTACAGGCTCTCACTTAGCTTAAAGACTTTTGCAGCCGAATTTCAATAAAATTATAGTTTAAAAAACTAAAACCTCCCTATTATATTTGCCATTCGTACTGTCATCAGGTATGTAACTTGAAAATAGAAATCGATGCATCTTTTAGGCGCATCAATATTACATAGTTACATCCCGAGCTAATAAAAGGAATGTAAAAAGCTTTTACTTTTAATCAACAATTTTTCATTCAGTTTCTCAAACCTCTTACCTAAATATTGGCACTGGATATGCTTGAGCTTGACATAAAAGCACAAGATCTTTGCCTTGCTTCTCAATAAATGTGCCACTTTTCAATGCGGTTGGGAAGGCTGGAGCTTTTGCACCAAGTGGTTCTTTGGAAATAAATTGACATTTGAAATTATTTAGTTTAAATAAAAAAGAAGTAAATAAGTAAATAGAAAACCACCCGAAAGCTTGAGAATTGTTCTCGAGAAGATATTATTATGAAACCGTGAAACCATATAATTTTTACCTTGTCACTGGCACCGGATACGCTTGAGCTTGACACAAAAGCACTATGTCACCTAAGCTTTTACCCATAAGCGTGCTTATTTTTGAAACGGTCGGGAATGTGGGAGCTTTAGCGCCAACGGGTTCTACGAAAGTGTGGAAACATATGAGCAGCAGCTACAAAATGTGGAAAACTTACGTCTATATAATATTGAAAACTGACTGAATTTATTTCGATTTATACATGAGAAGCTTTTGCATATAAGAGCTTTTGGTTTCAAATATTCTACTTTCAATTCCTACCTGATAATAGGCACTGGAAATGCTTGAGCTTGACAAAGCAGCGCAAAGCTTTGGCCTACAGCGCGTGTATATGAGAATGAGCTTGAATCGGTGGAGAATGTGGGAGCTTTGGCGCCTACAGGTTCTAAAGCGAAAATATTGAAATTTAAAAAAAATATATTTGCTTATTCAAAAAGAAAAGCTGCCCAAATGTGTGTCATTTTTATAAGATGATATTCTTATAAATTGATTTTGTACAAATCAAATTTATTTTCCATGATAAAAGCGCTTAATCTATTAACAAAAATTACCTTATAATTGGCACCGGAAAAGCTTGTGCTTGGCACAAAAGCGCAAAGCTTGAATTTACAGAGCGTTCAAAAATGCTACCTTTAGAATCAGTTGAAAATGTTGGTGCCTTAGCGCCGACAGGTTCTGAAGTTGGAAAAAGATTAACATATGTACGTATGGTATGTACGTGCGATTTTTATTTTTTTATTTAAAGAAAAATAATAATTTACAAAACCGGTTGGCAGATGCGTAGCTGGAGTTAAATGAGGGAAAACATTCAAACTTGTCTCGTCTAGACCAAATTTTTTCAGAAATCTTACAATATAAAACCCAAAGCATGACGCGTGCAGAGCTTTTTAAGCTTTCTATACTGCTTCTTATGCCCTTTACTTGCTGGTCTACAGCATATTACATACCCTTTTCTGACCTCGGTCAAAACCGAAATACAGCTTCCAAAGTTTATGATATCGAAAACGAACTTCCGACTTCAAAATAGTTCAGGACTAAAACAGTATTGACCAGAAAGGGCTTTTAGCCTGAATTCTAAATCAATCGAAATCACCTTAAATTATATTTCGATTATGACTAGAGAACAGGGAATACCCAATTATTTACTTTCATTTCCCTACGTCGACTTTGTAAGAGAGGCTTCCCCAACAAATCTTTGCTGAGTGAATAATTAAAGTTTTCTCTGCGCTACATGTCCCTATATGAAATAGTTTGAAGATCCTGAGCTATAAACGACCGGTTTTTCATAGTTCAAAAATATATAAATTTTTCCGAAAACATAATTTCATTTCCGAAACTCCATTCTTTCTCGGCAAAAGGTCTTTAATCTTTCCTGAACCCAGCACCCACCTAAAAATAGGCACCGGAAATGCTTGCGCCTCACAAGTCATTGCCAATGTGCTGCTACTAGGCGCCTGAATAGTGAACGTGCTGGCAACGCTGGGAAATGCTGGAGCTTTAAAGCCCACAGGCTCTGCGCGAAATAATCGTTAGGAGTGAAAGTAATTAATAATGAGAGCAAGTGTTTATAAAAAGTAACACGTAACTGAATGTTGAGTTTTGGAGCGATTTTAAAATTTAATTTCTTTAAATTTGTAAATGTAAAGCAGCTTTTTAGATTTTTT